AGCGCTTTGAGCGAAAATTCTTGTTATAGCGCGGCAATCGCAGGTAATAAAGACAAAGTCAGATTGTGCATTTACAAATCTCGGTCACCAATGCTGAAAGTACCAACAAGTTCAAATTCTCCTCTATTTCATGACCAACTATTGTCAAAAAGAGAAATGAAGGGGATCGGAGATCTCTACAGGGATTTGCTTTTCAAATTACTTTCGAATTTGACTTCGTTTCTTGAACCTTAAGATGAGTTATAACCAGAATCGAGCAAGAGATGTGGCAAACGACGTCGCGAACCTCCCCCCCCCTTCCCCACTTGAGCAATATGCTCGCAACTAGCATGTCAAACAACCCCTTTGATCAAGTTTTAACGAATCCGTTTTTTGGCTTTCAACTCAGACAGTCGATGGCATACCTCCGGAGCAGAAATGGCAGAGCAGCGGGGTTTGCCCAGCGGGGGTTTGCCACTCGTGCTGCGGAGATCTCCCATTTGTGCTCCGGAGCCCTCCCATTTTGTGCCCCGGAGGTGCCCCAAATCTGGCGTACCTCCGGAGCGCATATCTATGCTCTGGGGCTCTCCCAAATCTGGCGTACCTCCGGAGCAGGGATTTGCAAGCCCGCCGGAGGGGTCCCATCTGCCTTCTTGTGACGTCACCGTGACCTCACAGGAAAGGACCGCCCCCTCGCCCCGCTCTCAATGGTCAATTGGGTCCTCCGCGGTTCTCTGCCAGATTTCGACTGTCCTCCGGAGCTATGGCAACGATTGTCTGAGAATGGTCGCGCTTCCAGTAATTGTTAGACAAAGGAGAAGAATTCAGCTCTAATTATTTCCGCAAATACTACGAGATCTGAACTATTGAACTGTAAAACGTCTACCAAATATATTTCTGGAAGTAAGTAATGGGGAGCAGAATCCCTCAAAAGGTGTGGCTGCCACATTTTTTGAGGAGTCGAGCCACACCCCATTATCTCACCTTTGAAGGATTCAAAGGCAGTGGCTCGGAAAAATCGCGACGGGACTTTTCACAACTACATGGCCTTCTGGACCAAGCTAAGCCAGGTATTCTGCTTGAAGTGTCAAAAAAGTGTTTTTTGTTTTGTTTATCGGACTTGCAGTTTGCTGGAGAAGCGGGGCGAGGGATTTCCGCAATAACCAGCAAATGACTGCAGGATACCATAACTTCACCTATTTTGGCGGCAATTGGCTGATCAGCCCAGGCAATCATTACGGTACAGTTGACGGGAATCCCTCGCCCCGCCTCTCCGGCAATCTCTAAGGTCGGAAAACGCCAAAAAAGCACTTTTGACTTTTCAAGCACAGTACCTGACTCAGCTAGTCCAAAAGGCCATGTAGTTGTAAAAATCCCCCACTCGCGGTGTTCGCGAGCCAATGCCTTTAACACATTGACGACAATGTGACCCACATGGTGCGTCATGCAATGACCGTGATTTTAGAAATTCTATATGCTTTATTCCTAAGAATTACTTCCGCGTTTCTTAGCTGCTTCTCAAAATCACTGTAGGGATACTGCAGAAGACGGCCTCTTTGATTTCAGCTAAAAATACTCAACTTACTGCAAATGGGACTGTCCCACAAGGCAGAAAGCTAAAAATGCACGCTGTCGTCAACGTGTTAAACATCTCCGTGTTTCGTATCGTTCCTCCTACAGCTAGACCTTCTTCCCTTCGCAGAAATTTCCCCAAAACCGTTCCTCTAAAATAAGATGTAGCGGCTTCTCCAATCCTATGCTGAAAGAAGATAGTGGGTTACGGTACGTGCTGAATCTGCTCTATTACGTATGTTGCAAGGTAAGGCGACAAAAAATATACATGTTCGAAAGCTCAGATCTCTTAGACACATGAGTGATTTGAGCTCAATTTTTCTTCTTACAATTAGTATTGGTTGCTGATGGCACAACCGTTGACAGCGAAATGAGACCAACGAGATTTTGGCTAGCTCCTAATTTCAAAGTTTGGAAGTCGTCTGAGGTAGGATTTCTTAAGTCGGCAAAGGAGAAATAGTGCTTTGTATCGAGTTGAAAGAGACAGTCAACTCACTCGCTTTCACAATTTTTGTGACAACCACGCGGAAGGCCTAAAAGTGGCAGAATTAAGGGAGACATTTGGTGGTCTGGAGACTGATGCAGCTTACAAGAAAAGGATACATTAAGTTAGCGATCGACTTAAGCTGGATCCTTCCGTTATCAGAGAACACACGTCAAGGATGAGTTGTCAAAAAACACAGCCCCCAACTTACATAATTGCTGCATTCGATGCGCTTCAGCAGAGGCACCTGTATTAGTTCTAATTATTTAACGCGCAGGTTTCAAATCCTTTGAATTGGAGCGAATAGGGCAACGCGAAGACGCACAAGACATGACGGTGTCTATAGGAAGAATTGCGGTCACAGGCTATATATACTGCTTCAAACAGAGCGTTACAGCTCTAGCGACGCGGGCCCTCAGGAAGCCCGGCTCAGCGCAGCGGCACGTTCGCAAGTGCAGTTCTCAAGACATTTTTCCGCGCCTCAGCACTTCTCATCCTGCTGCTGAGGCTTAGAAAAATGCCCAGAAAATAATTTGCGAACTCAGAGCAAATCCGGGCGAGCCACGACGGCCCTAAAAAGGTTGCCACAACCTTGCCAAATGAACCAACCAACCACCACACGAACAACACACGTTTATTGCCGATCACCTCAAACTTGGGTAATTAAACCCTCATTCTGCTTGAAATATACACACACATAAACAACGAAGCATCAACATGAAAAAGTGACGAAATCACTAACAAATGGTTGGAACTATGATGACGATAAGTCAAACCAAAATAATATCTTGGTCATGTGAATTTGGACTAATTGCAAGAAATGTACAAGAGGGGATTAGGAAACATATGATAGGAGTGTTGAATGTGCCAACCTACAAGGAATGAGCGGATAGTAAGGCAACACAAGCAATGAGTGTAAGTGATGGAAAATGCATGAGTAATAATGACTAAGTATATATAGACGTTCGCTTGCTGGCTCCATCGTTCCTTCTGCAGCTGCAATCGCTTTTGTCGGTGGACCGAGATCTTTTTGTCGAAGGGAATGTCGCATCTGGCATGGTGGACTCATTCCTTGGCGTTTCGCAACTAGCCTTTCAATTAGCAAGCATTGCGATCCGTGAACGTCTCAACTGGTACTGAGGGGTCATCGTATGCAACTCTCATGCACTATCTTGCTCAACTGCATCGCATCCGCGTTACTCCCGGCTACGCAAGTTCGTAACTACTTGGAACTTGTCATCGGGAAAATCATCTAGCGCTTATTCCTTGAACTGTTTTCTGGTGGGGGTACGAACTGTGCTGAAGCGTTCTTTGTAAGCATCTTCCTACTTTTACCACTATATGCATCGGTAGGCAACTTATCCTGGCAAATATATGACGAACTGTCCAAGGAACTGTTAATTCTAGGCTTTGAATGCTCAAATACATGATTAGCACAAGCAGAGCACTTCCTGGAAATATAATCGTTAGTGTCTTGTACCACAAAACTTCCAAGATGATTTTTTGCCGAGCGATCTCTCCGTAGACCATGCTGCTTCCTTGTTCGTTGTTGACGCTTGCCGGAAGGTTCAGTGAAGGGGCAGTTTGAGTTCTTTTCGATTTTTGTCATCTGTTCCTTATGTACTGCCACCAATTTATACCTTCTTTTCTCTTGACAAGGAAGGTTGTCTTTGGGTGTGCCTTCTCGTATACACTGTGAGACTTCGCTTGTTTTCTTCTTTTTCCTTTAGTACTGCAAGTGCCAACTGGATACCTCTTCGTCTCTCTTCACTACTGCTTTTCTTCTGAGCAGGTGACACCGGGTTTGACTTTCCTTCTAATCCTGCAAAAACCTGCTTGAAATGCCTGCTTTGCTTCATCGAATTCTTCCTCCACTTTTCTGCTTCCTTCTTCATAGTTGACTGCAAAGAGTGCTGTTTTGAGCGAAAGGTCCCGTTCTGTACGTTTTTGAGCTTCTTCTGATTCTCTCGTCGGGTTGTGTCACGTCCATTTTGCTGGTTCTGTGCTATAAGGGTTCTCGCGTGGTGGCACATACTTTGTATCAAGTCTCGCATCTCCTGTTGCTGTCGTTCGAGGATTTTCTTGAACTTCAGAAAGCATTTCCACACTTTGTGTATCTTACCTTCTTCGTCATCCAAATGAATGCTTGAAGTTACAGCTGCTTTTGTTAGAAATGGTTTTTGTACCGCAGAAGTTTTCGCAATAGGATTGATATCGGTAGTATGGAGTTCGCTAGGGAAGAGATCACTGTTTAAGTGCACATTAGCAGGCTTCGAGGGTGCTTTTGCGAAAATCACTTTGACTGGTGGGTGTGTGTTCAAGTCGGCATCTGAACCTGATAACGGCATCTCCCCTGATAATGTTGCTCTATCGATTGCGGATGTCGTTGTTTTCATGTCTTCTGGCTTCTCTCGTTGGCTAGGCTGTGGTTTCGTCTGCGTCATATTATTTGGACTTTTTTCTGTGCATAGTGTTGCGTGAAGAACTGTTGCAGTTTCGTTGTTTGTCTCTTGTCCTGTCAGTGGTTCTCCTGAGGGGTCTTCTGCGCTGAGAAGATGTGTCCAAGCCGTTGGTTTCGAATATGGCAGGCTATCTTGTTGAAGTGACCCCTTTGAAAGTTCCGAGTTGTTCCAAATGCTTGAGTTTGCGGTTTTTGTGGTCGCCCTTCATTTTCATTCCTTCTTGGACACAAAGAGTAATGATGTTTTTGACCCACGCATGCTCTGCATCCTGGGCTCCTACAATCTTTCACAAAGTGCCCTTGACTTGCGAAGTTCAAACATCTGTTAGACTCTTGGAAGAATTTGCGCCTTTGTGCAATAGAGTTGAGCTTGTCACATGCCGCCATCCTGTGAGTTGTATCATTACAGAACAAACATGATCTGAGATGTCCATCTCTCCATGAGATACTGTTCTTGTCCTCCTTGTGTAAGTGTTCACTGCGTTTGCCGTGTATGTCATCATCTCACTGATTCGCTCTTCTGTTGATATGCAGTGGGTCCAACGCCGTGATGATATCTTTCATGTGCCAGTTTTCCTCCTGCATCTCTGGAGTGATGTACTGCCGTAGAATCTTGCGCTGAATCGAAGCATTGAATTTTGATAGCAGCTTCTGTGCGGCAAAGGATCCATCAAGATAGACTTTGTGAGCTTCCAGCTGCGAAATCAGTGGAATGATTGTTTCTAACAAACGTCGTTGTGCTGTCGTACTAGTATTAGCTGCGTGAGTTTCTCCAGACGTTGTTGGAGCTTCGCAACAAGACGAGATTTATCTCCATATTTTCGGCGTAACATCGTGATTGCTTCCTCGTAATTGTCCTCCGTGACCGTAAAGCGGTTTAATAGTTCTCGTGCTTCACCCCTTAGAGCGTTTATCAGATAGTTGAACTTTTGTAGCTTGGTAAGTGGTTGGTGATCAACAGGGTAAAGCGGGGGGTGCGGCACGCGACCGTCGGATACGACCCCCCCCCCTGGGCCGCACCCCGGCACGACCCCCCCCCCCTTCTCCCCCCCCCCCCCCCCCACCTCCCCAGATTTTATGCTTGGCTAACTGTTTCGATATATATTATCTGTTTTATTCAAAAGATTTTTCTTAGTGTATACATGAGAAATTATCAACACAATCAGAAACCGAAAGCAAAATATCGAAAACAACTCGTAGAGATATCCGACCAGTACTAAGTTATCTTAGGCAGAAAGGTTATTTGTTACGTTACCTTAGCTGCTATGGCGCTGTCCAATATGAAATTATCATTTTTTGATCACAAATCAATAAAAAATCGGTTTATTTTAAAAAAAAACTGACCTTGATTTCCTTTGGATGCCCCCCTTCCGCAATACGAACCATCCACAAAAACTTGTTGAAATCATCTCCAGAATATCCAATGACACCACCGAATATTATAAGTACGTAATCAACATCCAAAGCGTTCATGATTTCGTGGGCGGCAGACTCGTTAGATGACATTGCTTTCCCTACCTGCAATAGGAGTTTGAAAAAAAATTATTTCAATCACACATTAGAGCTTACCAAAGCAATATGAGAGTTATTCCAAGTATTGTTGTCTACAAGAGTTGTCCTATTCGCCATTCCAGCAATCTGGTAGCCGTAATCCCACCATGACATAATTCTCGCATCATCAGCGGTGTTTTCGCGTAGCCAGTGATAAGCTTCGCGGAAATCGTCCATAATAATACGATCACTGAAGAACACAGTATACGGTTGCCCAAAGGGAAACAAAACCAAGCATTTAACTTACCCATGACTATTTGAACTTTGCAGCACAACAGAAGGATGCGAGTAGGCATTGCTTGTCACGTACGTAGCATGAACAACGAACATGAGAAGGAAGAGAACCAGAACAACGCTGACCAATGACCTGGAGTTGATACCAACACCATCCTCGGCAGATTCAGATGAAGAAGCAGTCTAAACAAAAAGGAAGCAGTTTGGTGATAAGTTCTCTATAACAGACAGAAAACCAACTCATCAATTCTTTTCCTTTTCGCCCAAAAAAAACATTAGAAAACTAAGAGGAATAACAAAGAAGTCGGCAAATTTCCCACAAACTTATCCAAAACACAGAAAGCCAACAGACCTATCCAAAACACAGAAAGAAGCACAAAGACATCGCAGACACTCACACCAACAACAGAAACACCCAACTCTACCTTTCCTTTCTTCGACACCTTGTCATACATTTGACGATCCGATTCGGATTTCGTAGAAGATTTTTCATCATCACGAAAGTATCTGCAAAGCAGAGAGAGATATCATCTGCAAAGCAAAGAAAGTTATAATTGTTAAATGGTCAGAGGATATACGAAGCAATGCTGGAGGGAGCAAGATTTTTGTTCTGAATGTTTTCATTACTGAACACAACAGTTGCAAACTTTACTGCCTTTTTGAAGCACTGATAACCTTCTAACTTACTCGCACGCAAGCGTAAATATCGTATTACACTAGGTTATCTAGCTGCAAATCACAAACCGTTCTCAGAAGCTCAGCTTGGTCAGATATTTCCCTACAGGTTTTCAAAAAAAGAGGAGAAAGATTTGAATAAGGATCAAAACAGCTAATCGAAACTGGATACAAAAATCAAGACAGGAGCTTACTTCTCAAAGGTATAAGAAAACGCGATTCCGGAAAGCGCACATACAACTGGAGTAAGTGTTAGCATGAGTCGAACCATCACGCCAGCGAAATACACAGCTGAGACCGCATACAAGATAACTGCAACGGAAAGTATCATCTGATCTAATACTCCGCAAGCTCATGCAGATTAACACAATGTAAATTTCACAAATTGTATGGCTCACATTCACCGGTTTTTATAAAGCAGATACATTTACCGGTTTACATAAAGAAGATGTTAAAGCTGAAAAACTCACTGAACACTCGTTCATCATTCACATTCTTCACGCAGTACCACAGTCCAACAGGGAAAACAGCCGCTGTGATATGAAGATCAAAGAAGAACGACACCCAGGTGGTAGGCTGATGCTCAGACACAGAAGCGATGATGGGAATGTGAATCTTAAAGTGAGTTAATAAAACACGGGCGGGCTGAAGATCTGTAAAAAAGTGAATAGTTTCTTATTTACTACTTCAGAAAAATCACGGTTTTTACTTTTCACAGTACTTTCCGTAAACGAATACTACACTGCAAATACTTAGCAGCATGTATAAATGGGATTTGACATCTTATATCCGTGATTTCGAAATTTATAAAGGGCCTGACAAAAACATTTTTAAGTGATTACTTACCTTCCCAAACAAGAGCGAAGTAAACGATAACAGCTAGTATTCCGACGATTGTTAGACCACCAACGAATAAAGTCATGAATGCTGACGCGTGATACGAGGGCGAGCGTATTGCATGGCGGCAACAATCTGGAAATGCATTAGGTTACAACTTAGTGATCACAATTCATAGAGATTCATTAGAGTAGAACGTGAAGTCATATGCATTGAGTTTGCTTTCAATTTACCTGAAGAATTCCAAACGCTCCAAAAGCTGGCATGTGCTCGGAAGTACGGACAGGTTGGAACCCGACGAATGGAATTTGCATGGAAAGAATAGTTGCCAGCAGTAGAATGTGGTATAGGCAACAAAAAGCCGGGATGAGTAACGTCCTAAAGGAATAGATAGAGAACACAACATGTGAAAATAAAGAACGTCTTACCAATAATAATGAGAGCCAGTACATGAAGCGGAATGAGATTAATAATAAAAACGTATCCTCCCCAAGCGGACACCATGTAGAAATATGAAAGGGCGCAGAAGGATGCCCACATAACAGAACCAGTCTTCAACGATTTGACCCATAGATAGTATGTGAACTGCAAATTACTCATGTAGGTGAAAACTTGAGTATTTAAATAATCCAAAAGAGAATTGGGATTCAAAGGCGCGTATCTCGCGCCTCTGTGTGTTTTGACAATCTTTCGAGCGCTACCGTAACCCAATATTTTTTGGCCACACTTCCCAGCATATGGTTCGCAAAAACCATATGTATTTCCTTCTAAAGAAAAAGGTTCGAAGGGAAACAGCTACTACGGAGAGAGGAAGGATGAATATATAGGATGATATGAAAAAGGCAGCTGTTTGAACGATTTGAAGGTAAGTTAATGGCCTGCGGCACCCCCCCCCCCTCAAAACCTGCGGCAGACGCAGGTTTTGAGGGGGGGTGCCGCAGGCCATTAACTATATCAAAAAAACATTTTTAGCGGACAATATTTATATGAATCAGTAGCCTAAACCTCATAGATTCCATAGGGATGTTTTGAGCCTGATTCGTCTTCTTAGCTCTGAGTAATATTTGGTGAAAGCACAGCGATCAAAAGCTAAAAGCGATTTTGGTTGGCTTCTTATTCAATAGTTTGGAGGTCTTCTGAAGCGGGATTCCTGAGGTGAACAAAGAAGGAGTAGTGCTTTGTGTTGAGTGCAAGAAGAGGTAGCTTACTCACCGTTAAGATGAAGTTAATCATGTTTTAAATTACTGCTTTATACAAGGTTGTTTACTGCTCGGAGACCTCAGAGTTCGCTGAAACTTGGCGCATAGGGGTTATTCGACACGCGGATTACGACAATTATGCTTGATTAGAGGTACGGTAGGTTACGGTAGGCATACGGTATCTGCAAGTTTGTGTCGTTGAACTTGAATTTTGCAGGATTTCAACAGCGTGGCACATCTAAGAACTTAGCTGCAGTCATTTCCCCTTAGAAACCGCTTTTGACCTTGGGTCGATACGACCCCCCCCCTACCTACCCCCCCCCCCTTACGACCCCCCCTTGCGGCGTGCCGCACCCCCCGCTTTACCCTGGTGATCAACGTTTGCTTCGAATAGTCTCCAAAAATTTTCGAAGTCCCATAGCTCTCCCGTGAACGTTGGCACTGGAATAGGAGGTAACTGAGACGTGGGTGCTTCTCCATGTCCCCTCATAGACGAACTTGTCGGGCGCGTGGGGTTTCCTGCATGATCACGCGCGCTTATCCTCGCAGACTCCACCTGTACCGTTAATTTCTGAGCTTGGTCGATAGTTGTTTGCGCCTTGTCAATGTATTCTTGTACTTGTTGTTCCTGTTCTTCGGTAACCGAGTCCACCACGGTGTCAACAACGTTGGCAAATTTTTCCAGACTTTGCGATACAAGGTTGATGTTTGCCTCTAGTTCCATTACCTTCCTTTGAACCTCCTGCGATTGTTGCTGTTCCAAACTTTGAGTTCTTCCGTTTTTAGCTCCTTCTCACTGTCCTCAGTGAGGCGCTGTAGGTTGTTACAGTATCTTGTCAGAAGGGCTTTTGCTACCTTTAACGATGTGGGTCCCGCCATTTCTCTGTGCTATGAAATCCGTGATAATCTGATGAGTTCTACCGACGTAGAATATTGCAAGACAATCTTCAGCCAAGCAGTCAAGCAAATCGATGCGATAACTCACGAACTTCCTGCGGCCAAGATCCGTATAGCCGATGCACCATAAAAAGGTTGCCACAACCTTGCCAATTGAACCACACCAACAACCACCACCCGAACGACGCGCGTTTATTGCCGATTACCTCAAACTTGGGTAATTAAACCCTCGTTCTGCTTGAAATATACACACATAAACAAGAAGCAAATCAACATGAGAAAGTGAGGATATCCTAACAAACAGTTGGAACTATGATGATATGTCAAACCAAAATGATATTTTGGATATCATGTGAATTTGGAGCACTTGCAAGAAATGTACAAGATGGGATTAGAAAACATATGACAGGAGTGTCGAATGTGCCATCCTACGTACAAGGAATGAGCAGATAGTAAGGCAACACAAGCAATGAGTGTAAGTGATGGAAAATGCATGAGTAATAATGACTAAGTATATATAGACGCTCGCTTGCTGGCTCCATCGTTCCTTCTGCAGCTGCAATCGTTTTTGTCTGTGGACCAATATCTTTTTGTCGAAGGGAATGTCGCATCTGGCATCGTGGATTCATTCCTTGGCATTCCGCAACTAGCTTTTTTATTTAGCAAGCATTCAAAACATTGGTTGATTGGCAATGCGATCCTCAAAACGAACGTCTCAGCTGGTATTGAGGGGTCATCGTGTGCCACTCTCATGCACGATATTGCTCAATTGCATCTCAGGCAACGGATAGGACCCCTCCGCCGGAGAAATGGCAGGGTCGCGGCGTTTCCCCAGCGGTGGGTCTCCCATTTGTCCGGCGGAGCCCTCCCACTTCTGCTCCGGATACCTCCCATTTTCTGCTCCGGATACCTCCCATTTTCTGCTCCGGATGCCTCCCATTTTCTGCTCCGGATACCTCCCATTTTCTGCTCCGGATACCTCCCATTTTCTGCTCCGGATACCTCCCATTTCTGCTCCGGATACCTCCCATTTCTGCTCCGGATACCTCCCATTTTCTGCTCCGGATACCTCCCATTTTCTGCTCCGGAGACCTCCCATTTTCTGCTCCGGAGACCTCCCATTTTCTGCTCCGGATACCTCCCATTTTCTGCTCCGGATACCTCCCATTTCTGCTCCGGATACCTCCCATTTTCTGCTCCGGATACCTCCCATTTTCTGCTCCGGAGACCTCCCATTTTCTGCTCCGGATACCTCCCATTTTCTGCTCCGGATACCTCCCATTTCTGCTCCGGATACCTCCCATTTTCTGCTCCGGATACCTCCCATTTTCCGCTCCGGAGACCTCCCATTTTCTGCTCCGGAGCCCTCCCATTTCTGCCCCGGAGACCTCCCATTTTCTGCTCCGGAGGCCTCCCATTTTCTGCTCCGGATACCTCCCATTTTCTGCTCCGGATACCTCCCATTTTCTGCTCCGGATACCTCCCATTTTCTGCTCCGGATACCTCCCATTTTCTGCTCCGGAAACCTCCCATTTCTGCTCCGGACCCCTCCGATTTTCTCCGGCGCGGCTCTTCCAAATCTGGCGGACTCGCGCCGGGCAAATTTCTCCGGCGCGAGTCCGCCAAATCTGGCAGAGTCGCGCCGGAGAAATGGCGGACCTTTGCAGCAGGGCCGGAGAAGCCTCCCACTTGCCTGCCAGTGATGTCACCGCGACGGACCGCCCATTTGCCCCTCTCTCATTGGTCAACTGGGTCCGGCGCGACTCTGGCAGATTCGGACTGTCCGGCGGAGGGGTCCGGTCGATTGTCTGAGATCGCGATCCGCGATGCTCCCGGCCACGCAAGATTTGCAGCTAACTAGAACTTGTTCATGGAAGAATAATCTAGCGATATTTATCAAACTGCTTTCTGGTGGGAGTACGAAGTGTGTTGGAGTGTCGTTCCTTGCAAGCATCTTCCTACTTTTATCAATATATGCATCGGTAGGCAGCTTATTCTGGCAAAAAGACGTAGGATTGTCCAGGAAGCGGATACTCCCAATCCTTGAAAGCTCATGTAGATGATTAGCACAAGTAGACCCACTCCTACAAGGGTAATCGCAAGCGTCTTGTACCAAGCCAAGAATACCTCCAGTTTGTGAGTGAAGTCCGGCCAAGCAAACTCTCCGTAGACTGTGCTGTTTCTCGCCATCATTTGCAGCATCGGTGCTCGCCAGTTTCCCACGTATTTGAGTACTCCGGTAAGAACGAAAATTTGATGAGTGTCTCCACAGTACACCGAACAGTTCAGCAGTTGCTTGGCGTGGTCCAGGTGGAATTGTAAAGTAGACTGTGGAGCGTTAGGAGCGCATGGCACAACAAATGCGTCTTGTTCACAAAGCACTTCCGCAAGCGTCTCACGCGACGAAGAGCACTGGATCCTTGCTTCTGCTCCTTTGGCGCAGTTATAACAGCCTGTTATCTCGCTGTTGGGTATTGTGCAGCTACCTTGTTTCACTAAAACCTTCACTTGTTCTGTGCTCACTGTTTGCTCGGTGGCTAATATAAACTCGGCTGACACCATTTGCGGTATCTTCGCTGTCAAGATTCCTTCGAATATCCTGAGCTCCCCCGATGACCGCTGCAATGGTAGTTTCAAGTCAACGCGATTGAACTCTTGGGTTAAATCCTTCGAAAAACATTGACAGTTTACCCACGACTCCGCCGGAGCGCACTGACAGCTGTCGCGCAGAATACAAACGAAAGAGTTTGCTTTCTGCCATGTGCTGCAGAATAGATCGGTTTCAAAGGGTTCTTGCCAAATGGAGGTTTCTTCTCCGTCTGTAATGAACATGTCTCCGAGCGTAGGCGTCGGTGGTAGTGCGATTGTGGTCATAGTTATCCTAAACGCTGAGAAATCGTGGGGTACGTTTGGAATTAGTGTGACAAGATGTTTTATTTGTTCTTCTTTCGAGTGCGTATTTTCTACAGAAAATTCCAGCTTGACCGTTTCCGCCCACCGTGCACACCTAAACATTTCATAGATCTTCTCGTCTGTGGGTACGGCATATATTCTGTAGAAGAGGCAGCCAGAGCTTGGATAAAAGCAGTCGCATCCAAGTCCTCCGCACGACTCAAAACATCTCGTTCTTCCTGGGTACTGATTCGCCTGGTGCAGTTCCGGCAATAGGGTTGTACTGTTTACGTCCGCACACTTGTTGCCTGTGCATGAACCCATAAGTGGGCAGCGTTTACTGTCGATGGTCCTCAACGCGGTTGAACGGGTAAAGTATAAGGTTTCGCGTTCACATGTTAGGTAGAGTCCCAACCATCTTAATTTTACATTTGCTATCAGTGAGTTGTTCGCTGTTAGACGCAAACAGGCTTCTTGTTTAAACGTATTGATCTTCAGCGTTTCCGAAATTACAAATGTGCATTCTTCTTTGCCTTCTTTTACCTTACATACCGTGGTGTGATGTTCGAGAACATTAACATACTGACAAGCCTCGAGCTGTTGTTCGCCTCCGAAAATTATGACGATCGCCAGTATCGCAGCTATCCGTTCTTGTCTAATGCGCAGTAGTCTCGTGCGGCGTGAGAGAATCCTGATGCAACATCTGACCATTCGTACAGCAATGACAATCGTCCTTACTAATCCCCACATTATCAAGCGTATAGGATTTCCAATGGTCATTGGCACATATAGTGGTAAATAGAGCAGTGCGACGGTGGCATATAGGAGTACTACTCCGATGAGTATGGCTCTTGTTGGCCAGCATTCCGGATTCAATAATATTGTGATACATAGACTGCAGTCAATGTTTTCACAAAATTTGAGAGCTGGGCACCTGGTTTCCATGACAGATAGATGTTGTTCCGCGATCCATTTGACTGACACCGTGTAGTCGTGCAACGTGATTTCTGGTGGAAATTTCAGCGCGAGAGATTTCGACTGGATTGATATAACTTGCAGTAACTTTCAGCACAGACCTCGAATGTTGCATTAGTGTGAGGACTGATGTGGACTCCATTTTCACTGCACGACAGCTTGATGTTCTTTGAAAGTTTGCCTTGACTGATGCTGGTGAGCATGGAAAGCATGATGTAAAAAAAGAACCATTTTGTCTTCGAGTTCCGCAGCTGGTCCCTACCTGACGTGGTCATGACATTTTCAACATAGCTTACTGGTTGTCGAGGTCAAAGGTCATAACGTTTTTCTCTTTGCTCGTTCCATGACACTTGCAACTCGTCTTCTTGTGGCACCTACTGGGTCTCCGTGCCGCTTTCCGGACTGCCTATTTCTTCACCCAGTTCCAGTGGAATTAACAGGTTTACAAGGCGTCGTATTTTGCGTTTGGTGCTAGTTTGTAGTTCTACCTCGCGGATAGCTCCGTCGGTTCCTCGCCGAATGTCCGTGATTCGGGCCAGTTTCCATGAATTTCTTGGAAGCACGGGGTCGCTGACGAGGACCACAAATCCATTCCTCGGTATTTCTTGCCCCGATCGTTTTCTTGATGTATTTTTGACGTGCTTTTCTCGAAGAAAGGTCAGGTAGTGTTCTTGCCAGATTTTCCAAAATTGCTCTGTGATTTTACATGATGATTTAATGGCTTCTTCGGCCTGTCGACGCGTTTGTAATGCTCTCATTTCGTCCGATGGTAAATATTCCGCGTCTGACTCTGCTATCGCTGAAGATCCGTCTAGGAGAAATGTCACCTCCAGTTCGTTTTGATAGAAGTCGATGGGTCGTATTGCTGAGAAGTCTTCATGGGAAGAGCTCTGATATGTCAAGGGACGGGAATTCAAACAAGCCTCCACTTCCGTTAAGATAGTGTATAAGTCATCCTTT